TTAAAAAATTGGCAGAGTGGAAAAGAATCTGAGACAAAGGCCTGCTACTAGCTGATCAGAATGCCTGGGCATTTTGTCATGCAGCCTTAGCAGATCAAAATGCTCTTTCTATTTGTCCTTTTTTATATGTGTGTGCTTTCCTCAGAAAAAATATTAATAATCAATAAATAATGTTGCTACAGTTCTATGATGAGTGATTGCAAAATGTGCATATGTTTGTGTACAGATCTTCTTGTTAAAATAAGTGGAATTAGATGATTATAACTAATGAGAGTGTTACACATTTAGTAATTTAACTGCTTCCCAGAGTGCCATCTGCATCTCTCTTTTTATCAATAAAATATATACCAGATTTTTTTTTTGGTTGATAACCTTCCAGCTAGAAGCATTTAGCTAAAACAGCAAGGCTGCCAAGCCGCCTCTATTCTTTCCTGGTGTTCACTCTTGGCTGCAGCTGTAATTCTTATAACTTGTGGGCTGCTACTCTTTATAGGATCGAGTTCAAGTATACAGTCAATTCTTCCCTTCCATTCTTTGAATGTAACACAAGCAGAATATTTTGGCGGCAGTGTGGAGTAACTTAAGGGAACAAACTGAGCTGTTGATAGTTCTGAGTACCTGCCTCAGAAGCGACAGAATAAACTACAACTCCCAGAATACTTCATTATTCTGTTTCTGTTTTCTGTTCAGAGAGAAAGATAAAACTGACTGGGAGTCATGATATGTCTCTTGTATGCCTTGGCTCTGGACACTCACTGGTCATCTCGCCTTCAGCATTCAGTTTTCAAATACACTCTTTCTTATTTATTTGGCTTATTAGCTTCAGTCTCAATTGTATTAATTGTGTTATCTCACATTCTGTTATCATATTTAGTAAATTAGTTTACATTAGTTTAATATAATTTTAAATTTAGTTTTCTTCTTTAGCTCATTGCTGCTGGGTTTTTTTTCAGTCCCATCTCCCTGCCTTTCCTTTCCCCCTTCCCCCTTTCCCAGTGCATGGGTCCCTGTGTCCCTCTGTTCCATTAGTCACAGAACTAGACCCAACTGGGCCAGAAGTGTGACAGATACAATTATAACAATGTGACTTCTTTAATTTCACTCTTTACCTTAATTTCCATATCCATTCAAATATTAATTTAGTTCCTAAGATTATTAAAACAGTAGAAATTAACAGTAGATTGCCATTATAATTTACCACTCATAAATTAATATTATAGAGATGTGGTGTAAGAAGCTTACCTAAAGGCTACATATAGGATTATCATCTTTGATATTGTGGGTCCTCACAGCTGTATGGATTCCAGTCATTTGATTACAAAAGAAACACATAATAGAGTTTCGATGCCTTTATTGCGCAATGGATACAAGCACAGTGGTGAATCAGCTGCTGTTTGTTTTTGAATCTGATGTGGCTGTATAACCTTCAATGTCTGCAAACTTGGATGATGTAAAATAATAGGCAGGAACTAGATAACACATTCCTTTGCATGATGGTGCCTGCCTTGTCTCCGGGAATTCAACTATTCACTATCACTTAGCAGCTCCTGTTTCTTGCACAGGGCAGCTAGATACCTGCACAATATCAAGGCTATGATGTAATCAACTGCCTAAGTAATTGCCTTTATTAAGGCATAACTCCCAACTTGTGCCACATCATGTGCAGATATCCACCAGTAACTCCCAATTTGAACAATATCCTCACCTGTAGGAGCTTCTGCAAGCATTGCCATTATGGACCAACAGCAAGACACAGCTGTACCATGTGATACTTAGCACTCTGATGTGACAGCACCTCCCAGTGCCCTGGTCTGTGACAGGCAAGCTTCTTGAATATCTTCACAGTCTCAGAAGGGCTCTCATCTCTCCTGATGCATCTGTGTAGCCTCCGATTACTCCTCTATTCATTCATTCATAGCACCTCTGTTTTATTAGCATTCAAGTTTATCTGTGCTCCAAGAGAATGTCCATGCAGGTATTTAAGACCTTGTTATATTTATATGTGAACTCTGGTGTGCTTTGAAGCTTGAAAAACATGGAGCAGAGCAGAGCAGGGTGGGGGGAAAAGGGCTCTTACCAGAAAGCTGAACACATGCTTGAGCCTGCACAGCTGCAAAGCGCAGTCCCTTAGGTAGGATTCAGTGTGCTGTTGTGACTGTTTAATTCAGGACAGAGTGTGGCCAATAAATCTGAAGTATGAAAGTCTTCGTGCTCACTTGTTAGATTTTTGTTCCCAAATGGATGAGAGGTACCTACAAGATCAGATTCAGCTTAGAGATGTTACCAGAAATTCTTGTTCCTCTCAGTTATCTTTCAGAGCAAACCCAGTAATTCATTGCACTGGTAAATCTAGATTCGTTTATTCTTTTACTGAAGTCTTTTTCTTCAGAATATCGTCTTCTAGCAGATTAATGGTCTGAAACTGATAGTTTATCTGTATAATTTCATATTATTTTATGCTACTTATATTGAATAGACAGTGAAGTATTCTGTTCATTCTTGTAACTTTTCACCCTGTCTCAAGCTGTGTCCTGGGATTCAGTTACACTGTACTGATAGCCTTTGTGAAAGGGCTAATTAACTTTCTCTGGGATCTACTGTCTCCTTTTATTCAGGTTAGCTGCTCCTGAGCTCTGCTGGGTTTGTACCTGAGTCTGACCAGTTATACTACTCAAGTCTAGGAGAACCCGTGCTGCCGGGATGTGAAGCATTGTTTATTTCTTTGTTTGTTTCCTTGTTCGTTTGTTTCTCCTGATTAAAAATAAAGGTCAGCTGAGTTCTCACAAGCCTTCCTTTTTTAATCAAGGGGAATAAAACAGGAACTCTCCTGTCAGGGAGAGAGAAAGAACAGCGCAGGCATGATCAATAGTGTTATTTCAGCTTCTGGGCTATATTTCTTTTTTTTCTGAACAGACAATCTGCTGATTCCGTGAGACTAGTGTCTATCTTTTGCTTTGAAGCAACGGGTAGTCTTCTTAATATTACTAGTTTGAGTAAAATAGCACAATAAAATTGTGTTCCTATGAATGCCAATGAAAGCCTGTCTCCTTGTCCTTGTGAACCTCGGGGAAAAAAAAACTGAAAAGTAACATGTATAGGTTGCATGTGCAAGTGTAAATGTTTGGTAAGTTAGAGTTGAAGAGTAGGTATAATTACATGGAAAACATTCAAGTTGAGCAACTGCAGCATGAGTGTTGCTATGAATAGAATAAGGAACAGTAAAGAAGCACAAAATTACGGTAGGTCTCACCATGGAAAGGGAGACCTAGATTTATTTCTTTCAAGAGGATAAATAAGCTGATACTCTTCAAAGCCGGAACCCTGTACAAGGATCAAGGTGCACATTTTAATTATCAGCCAGGGGCCTATTCCTCTAATCAGGTTTTCTTCCATTTTCAGTTCATGTAACAGCTTTGTTGATGCCAGAGAAAGGCTAATGGACGTTTCGGAAATAAAAGAAAAAAATAAAAGGGGAAGAACAGGGAATGAGCTAATCAGGCACTCACTAAGAAAGTTGCTGTGCTTTAATCTGGGAAACAAACATCTGAAAGGGTGTTTTCTTCATGTCACTCGGGAAGAGCATCTGAAGATATTTAACCTCTGCCTCAGGATAAAGCATGTCCCAAAGTCAGATGAGATATGTACTGAAACT